TGTAATTTTCTTGACGGCAAAATGCAGTATTTTTAACAACTCCGAATAATATCGTTGATATTCGTCTGGACATATGATATATTTATTTACAGCAATACTGTGCATAAAGTACATCTATTTATACAATTAAATAGTTTCTTCATTAGTGTGTTTTGGTATTTTGTTAATTATTTACATAACTATTCATTTCAATAACTTCTTGTGACATACGGTATTGCACTGTAAATCTATCATTTATCGGTAAAATTCGATTACCTGTTAATCCGAGTGTCTGTCTGTTTCATTCATAACAAATTTTTGTCCTCATCCACTTCAACTACTCATCACAGATGCTTGAACTTTTAATACAACCTTCGCTTTGGCATACAATGGCGGGACTCATTTCTGTTTAAATCAAATGTCAACTTCCCGTTTATCTGTGCGTCTGTCCCTACCATACATAACAAATTTTCGTCGCGGTTTCCTCAGCTAATACTCATTGCAGATGCTTGAAATTTTTGCACTCTTCGGAGAGCTATACCATATTGAGGGACTAAGTTTGCATCACCTTTGATGCAAGTTTTCTGTTTCTCCGTGAGTCTGTCTGTTATATATATAAATTACAAAAATAACAATATAACTATTGTCGCAGTTTTCTCAGCAACTACCGATTTCAAATGCTTGAAATTTTAACACATTCTTTGTTGAGGCAGCCATATGATAGATTTATTTTTATATGCTTTTGACGTCAACTTCCTGTTGGTCTGTGCATCTTAACGTTGCTTAACTTGGGTATATTCTCATCAGAGCGGGGGAATCACTAGTGAGAATTAGCTCACAGACTTCTTGTTTATCAAGTTTTATTTTTCGGAAGATGTTCTAATGAATTACCAGCAAAAATTAATGATTAATGCAGTATTTCAGACGAACATGCATAGGATCAAGTACACAACTGAAGGAGAAACATACCTGTTACAACTGATATGACCCCGATGTTTTGTGAAGATACTAGTATACGGATATTATTCTTTACTCAAGTTCAGCATAAACAAAGGCCTCACAATTTTTATTCAATACGTTAGGTAAAGTAAGATTTGAAGTCATTCTGATTTAAACGTTCATATCCCTGTAACATCAATTTATCTGTCAGTAGCCTGAGTCAATGACCAATCAAAAATGATTCTTAGAGTTGTTTGGCTTTTAATGAAAATGATAGCTGATGATCTGCGATCACAACAGATGTCTTCGGCTTTTGGAGATGCATATATTTTTTTTTTACCTGTCATACAAATTATACTAGTAAAAAAGTAGGGTATATTGTCTGGTCCTTACAATTTCATGTATAATGTATGAAATAATTTCAAAACAAATAAATGCAACGAAGTCATCATAATACAATTCAAAATTTCCCAATCGAAAACATTCACTACGCCTTGGTAAAAATTGTTTTACCGTGAAAGAGAAAGACAGAGAAACAAAGAGACAGACAGAGAGAGTAATAGACAAATTTCAGACAAAATGGGCACATTTATTGCCCCTATTAGCAACAATTCATTAGTGAATACAATAATTCATTTTATTCCTTGAAATATATCCTTTTGGTAATTTTTGTATGCCCTTTGTCTGCAGCAGCAGGAATCTAGGATAAGTAAGGTATTTCTACGTTTAAGAATTGGACTTTTTGTAGTTTAAACTTGAACACCTCCCGTAAAAAGGCATAGTCCGCCATATTTCCCGTTCTTCAACTCTCTCTCTACAACCCCTATATAATGAGCAGATTGCTATCAGTTCAATGTATTTCGCTGTAGAGATCCGACGAGTGTAGACTACATCTTACACTGCCGTGCTACTCGGTCGCGATTAAATTTTCAATTTTTACGTATTTTTTCCATAACAGGACAAATGTATCATGAAAATTATAGGTCAATACATTATTTACAAAGAGAAAATGCACATAAAAACAAGTAATAAACGCAAAAAATCTAGGACCACGAAAGGAGGACTACATGTCGGCCACAAGTTTCCAATGTGCAATCAGATGTAACGAAATCGAACCCGTCTGACGGTGCCTATTTATGAGAAGTGTTCAGCTTTAAATGACGCTATAACATTATAGGTTTATAAATGATGGCTGATCACGGCATTAGGGAGACACAACAAAATAAAAACATATTTTGAGGACAAATGATACAAGCATTTTCTCTTTGGAAGAGACTTAATATTATCTAACAGACTTAGAAACGTGGGTACATGTAATTCTTTGATTTTTTTCTCTTTAGTTTTGGTTTGAGATAGAAGATACCACAGAGTCTGACACATCTGTTTCATACTTGGATATCTTACTTTGAAATGACGTTAATGGTAACCTAACAACCAAAATATATGATAAACGTGACGACTTTAACTTTTCTTTTGTCAACTTCCCTTACTTATGCAGCATTATACCTCCATCACCTGCACACGAAGTATATATATTTATATATATCTCATTTGATTCGATACGCAAGAGCATGCTCTACGTATGAACATTTTTTTAAAACGAGGTATATTATTGACAAGCAAGTTGATGAAACAAGTATATCAGCAGTCTCGTTTAAAGTCATCATTTTGTAAGTTCTATGGTCGATACAATGACCTTGTCAGCAAATACAATTAATCGTTGAGTCAAATTCTGACTGACGTTTTTCATACCAATTGTTAGTTTATTTTTATGCATTGAATTGACGTCGGATTTTTCTGTTATTTTACGATCATTACAATGAGCACACGGCGGGTGTGACCGGTCAGCAGGGGATTCCCACTCCTCCATGGCACCTGATCCCACCTCTGATGTTTTGGAGGTCCGTATTTCCTCTGCTCTTCTTTTGTATTGTTTTATGGACTTTGAGATTGAATACTGTTCGTTATCTCCATATCCTTCTTGGTAAATGAAATTGATTTGGAAAATATAAGTTAATTCTTCCATAAAATAACAAATTTAATATGAACAAATCGTACCCGGTAAAGGTTTACGGATGAAAACAAATTTCAGAATACTAGTACATGTATATTATCTTATTGCTAAAAGTGTAAAATGAACTTTACAAAAATATATTAAACTAGGATAATTTTATGAGGAAACGCAAAATAGGAAAAATTCTGAGAAACCGGACAGGCTGAGTTTTACTTTGCCAACGTCTGCCAGGACATGGGACTTAAGTTTCTAAGGTTTCATCCAAAGACCAGCAACTTTAACTTCAAAGGTGATTGGAAAGAACAGATGCTATTCAATTTCTATCGTATTTGATCAGTCACAGTCGGCTTAGGATTTTAAAGCGGTATGCTTTAAGTGTTAATCAGCTCATATTTTTCTATCATTTCTGAATCTTACACTCTTATAAAAAGTTTAAGATATAACATACATGTAATGACAATTATGAAATGATAAAAACAAATGTATCGTTTTCCACTAATTCATTAAGAGATAGCTATTATTGCTGGTGTTGATATAAAAAAAAAAAACTCATGTACATGTAGACAAAAGGATTACATCAATGATAACAAAAAGTTCATGGTGATATACAAAAATAGAAGAAAGGTTTCTGTGATAAATTTATCAAGAAAATAAAACTAAAACAAAAGGCGGGGGTGAATTGGGTTGTCCCCTGGTGTCCAAGGATCAGACAAAATCATGCATTTTCTCGAAGATCAATACATTAAATCTCCATGTTACATGTATTGTGTCATATTTTAATATTCAAATTTTCTGGATGGGTGAAACACGAAATTTAGAACATTGTAGATGAGGTACTCTCAGGTAAATTAAAAATTGAACACATGACAATACCCTCAAATATTAATCGGATGACTAAAATACAGTAAAACCTGTCTAATCCGACATGTACTGGGAGACAAATTTTATCCCGAAAAAGACAGTGTTCCGGATTGCAAAGTATAAAATAACATTTATTTAAAATTAGTTAAATGGAAAAGAAAGAACTATATGCGGTATTAACCAACATTTGCCCCCCAAAATCAAACTTTGATGGAGTAATATTTAATTAAGTCCTTAAACAGGGGAGTATATGCTGACTTCAAAGCACTGAATAATTTCATAAGTAATGACGTCATATGTACGTAATGACGTCACAAATATGACGTAAATTTCAGTTTTTTATGAATTTTGCAGAAAAATGTACATATTTTGTCGATATTTTAAATAAAAGTCACCGAGCGCATGTGTGTTCAGGATAAATATTTTGATATAATGTGTAGAATGATAATATCAATGAAATATGTCAATATTGTTCCTGAACACACATGCGCTCTATAAATTTTAAAGCTTAAATTGTTGAAATTTTGTCCATTTTGTCCTCTTTCTGAAAAAGGATATAAAATCGGACTAGTTTGTGACGTCATAAAAACAGAAATTGTGAATACACTGCTCTGGAACTATAATATTTTCTGTTAACTTATATTTCTCGTACAATTTATTGAATTCAGCACATTTCAGGAAGTTTTCAAAATTTGACTTTTGTGGGGGCAAACATATGCAATATACCGCATATAGTTCTTTTTGGTCGGAATTTACAGTGTTATGAATTACACAGGTGTCGGATTAGACAATTTTCACTGTATAACAATGTTTAAAAAAAATTTATTTCACTTTCTCCGCGTGAAAAGAGTATATATATCGTGCATCTTATTGAAACTACATTGATGTGTTAGATTGAACACTGAACCGTGTCGGCAGAAAATGTTACTTTCTTTGCTGCAATGTATCTTCCCACATCAGATTTCTCACCGTAAAAGAAATATTTGAAAATCATTGCTTTTCTAAAACGTTTAAAATATATTTATTTTTCCCTTCTTCTTTAGGGGGTTTAAGATCAATTTGAATACCATTCGTATATGTATATTGCAATGAGAGCTAAATAAACATTTGAAACTATCAGTAATGTCATTCATTTTAGATAAAGGTAATATAGATATTTGATTTGTATTAAACAAGCAAAAAATACAAAAACTGATTTTTTTTAATAGAAATTTATTTGGAAATTAAGACTCTTAGACGTGCTTTCAAACATATGATTATGCTGCGTCTTTAGTTCACCTACAAAAAAAAGAATTAATATGAATGCTATTTAAAATGAAAATAAAATGGCATTTTTACAGTATCATATTAAAAAGTGGTACACCTTTTTAATTAAAGCAGTAATTGAACAAGTAAATATTTTAGAATTAGAATTACTAACTGCGACCCTCCTAACCATGCTAAGATTATATGTTCACAACACTTTCGCTAACAACATTAAAATGGTTGATAAGGTTAAAGCTGACATGAACTCTTAAAAAGCCATCATTTTTCATCTTTGTACGACTTACTACGTTCCTGTACGCCTTTTGTCCGCCATATTTCTTCGATTCCGCCATTTTTAATTGAAAACTTTTGGTCACCTGTACCTGCTATATATAGCCTTGTAGAATTGTTTCACTTGAGTGATTTTCTAGTCTGTCTGTCGACATGTACACATCTCCAAAAGCATAGTTTTTAGAAGTCCATAAACTGACCAATTACATGTTTGAAAAGTAAAAATTCAACAAAAAATAGAACTATACCCAGAATTAATTTATTTTTGAATGCATTTGCTGCAATATAAAAAGTACACTAACACGGAATACATTCATGTACAGCAAAAATCCATGCAGGTCGAGAAAACGCGTCAAACGCAGTGATAAAACATTTACCTGAATACTGCTATCGTTACAGGGATGTGCACATGTCGAAAGAATTATCCAATTTTACTTTTATTGAAAAATGCATCTCAGAAGTCATGTAATCCATTGCTAACTCAACAGTAAAAGATGCTTGGACACACGTGGCCCATGCCGATCATTTTATTTGATCAGGGAAAATATCAAAGTTTGAAAGCTCAGTGGGGCTGGTTGAATTTTTTTTTTCAAAAATAAACATAACTCTTGTCTGTAAATGTTGTAAATAAAATTTATGACTACATGGTTTATCTTCATTAAATTTATAATAAAGCATGCATTATTACGAATCATTCACCTTTTGAAGATATTTTTCTGTGATAGGAGGGGGGGGGGGGTAGTAAAACATGCATATTAACACTCTCATAAAAAATGATTTAAGAAAAACGTCTGAAACAGATTGGATTTCTTTATGATCAATTACTATCAAATAAATACTGTGTACTAGCTTTATTAGACCTGATATGATTTGATTTAAAGTTATTTATAATTTTATGCACAATGAAAGAAAAAGTGAGCAAGTTCACATACCCCACGCTCCCCAAAAATTCGAAGTGCTGAAATTCCCAGAATAAAAATAAAGGAATCGTAATTTCCTTGTAATATGCTCATCTATACACATTGTGTCCTAAATATCTGCAAAGTTTGACGAAATTGTGTGCAGCGGTTTATGAGGAGTTGCGCTGACAAGCTGCTCATCTCTATATTCAAGATATGGCCAAAAATCTAAATGTAAAAGTGAGGAAAATCCCGAAAAAATAAAGAATTCGGAACTGGTGATGTGCAAATCTACACAAACATTGTCTCATATAAATATCTGCAAAGTTGGACAAAACTCTGTGCAGTTGTTTAAGAGAAGTTGCGCTGACCACAAAAAAAAAAAAAGAAAAAGAAAGAAAATTTAAAGAAAGAAAGAAAGAAATAAAGAAAGGACTGACTGACGGGTCAGAAACATTATACCTCATGCAACTTGTTGCGAGGGGTAAAATAAACGAGATTGATTCTGTGGTACAATGATAATGAAAATAGAATTTAAAGTGAATTAAATTTCTAGACATAAATAATTAATGATTATTAGAAAAAACATATAGGAAGAGAGAGCAAACTCCACGTGAGAATTCCACATTCTACCTACAATTAGCTTTTGACAAATTCTTGTCTATTGTCCAGGTACAGGTTCGACACGTTTGAGAAGGTATTTGAGAAAGTTCCCAATGTTTCCAATTCATGCGATGTATATTTCACGTTTATTATATCCCCCGCTTGAAAAGTGGGAGGGTATATAGTAATCGTCTGTCCGTGCGTCTGTCTCTTACGCTTTGGGGTACCAATATCTTATCCGCAAATCATCTTAATTGTACCACTTAGTGAAATTAAATGAAACTTTCACAGAGTCTTAGGTTTATTACATATTACCATTGTGCAACTCCTATTTCACTTTTCAGGGGTGTAGCAACAGGGGGGGGGGGGTGGACTGCCCCCCACTTTTTACCGCGACCTAACTTATGCTATGTTAATTGAAGGAGTGGTTTTTTTTTTGCTTGTCAAGTTTTTCAGGTAAGTAAAAAAAATTCTCTGGCTGCCCCCCTCCCACTTTCAAATACGATGCTACATGCCTGCTTTTTGATTCGACATATTTTTGGGGTTTAGCGACAACAGCAAAATATGGACTTTGCCACTATAACCATATGGGAGGCGGGTATCATTTAGTTAGCTCATTGCTCACAATACCTATAGTTTCTCTTTCAATTTTGGCGTTTGGGTTAATATCTTGTCCAAAATAAAATTATTATTCAAATTATGAAGTTTCGACCACCCGCCTGAGAAAAATCCTTGATCAGTTCTAAGGCTTGATAAATGGTACAGCACAAAGTGCGTAGGATCTTATACCTATTATTGCCCTAACGGATGAGAGAGAGAGAGAGAGAGAGAGTTAGTTCAATATACAAAAGAGTTAATAAAAATTATCCGTATTCAACCAGTGTCAAGTATCCCTAAACTAGCTTTTAAAATTATCTCCCAAATACTCCTAAAGAAATTATATTTATATAAAAAAAAAAAAAAACAGCTAGACTATCAGGCAGGGATACTGAAATCTCGAAAGACTCTCTGTAACAACATAAAACAGTTACATTCCTCAAAATGCACATACTTTGGTGTCGGAGTGACACATTTAAAAAAACTTCAAAATTGAATTGGGCAGAAATGTCTGTCTTCCAAGAATATTTTAATAACGGTCATGTCAATTATTTTTGCAATCCCCCCCCCCCCCCCCCGCGCCTAAAAAATCAAATGCCTAAATATCAATCTGAACAGGGGATGGCCTTTCTCCGTGTGCGTGTGTGTGTTGAAGAACGTATAGATGTACACATAAAAATTTGCATTCTGGTTAATTGCTTTTAAGATTTGAAGTAATAATTACCGTACCTCAAATTACTTGGTTTAGATTTGAGATTAGTACTCAAATAATCAGTTATAATGGACAAATGAATTTTGCGACGCAAACCAACTGCAGACTATATACATGTACATGACTTTGTATAGAATGTATATTAGAACTACATGTAGATAGACTATTCACAATTATAGCTTATGAACAGCAGTTATAATACTTTAACCCCCCCCCCTTTTCAGCAGCGCAAATACCAAATAACTGTCTTTCCACTTGTGATATTTTCCCTGACCAAAGTGTGATCAGCACGGACTAAGTGTATCGGCGTGCTAGTCTGTAAGGAGTAATGACAGTGTGTTTACTATTGAGCTTTTATGGAGTTTATTTCTTTTTTGTGATGCATATTTCAATAAATGGGATTCAGAGTGTATATCACTTGACTTGTGCACATCTTTGAACCGATGCAGTAACCTTATTTCCAGGTATGGGTCCGTTTACAGTGTTCGAGGCGTTTTCTCGATATGCATCAATTGCATCTTTAGGACCTGCAAATCAAAGACGTTGGTTGTTTTGTTCATTCAAATAATATAATTTCAAAATGTGTTTGCAGATTTTACTGCTTTTTATTTCAAGTTTATTCTGCATAAATTGGCGCACTGTAAAATACGTACTCATGCATCTAAATTTCTCTTCCAAGCTTGCATTTTTTTCTTTTGATTCAAATCAATAATCATTCAAAATTATGATTATTACAGGTTAGGACCAATCGCCCAAATGGGATATAATAGTCCGTTTGGGGTATAATATCCCAAATGGGCTATAAATTTACAGTGCAAAAATTGAAAATTTTTATTTTGACAATAAATATCATAAATCCGCATCAAAACACTTAAAATGGAATAACTTTTGGTAAGTAAGTTTTTCTGAAATCCTACCGTTTGTTAGATTGATCCCCAAGAAGTTAAGGAACTTCCGAGGGATCAATCTCCGAAACAATGGGCATACAGGAAAACTTTTCAACCAAAAGTTATTCCTTTTTAAGTGTTCTGATGCGGATTTTGGATATTTACAGCCAAAATAAAAATTTTCAATTTTTGCACTGTAAATTTATAGCTCATTTGGGATATTATATCCCGAACGGACTATTATATCCCATTTGGGCGATTGTTCCCAACCTGTATTATGTTGTTTATTTTGTTTTTGAAATGTCTTGATCACCTCATGTGTTCTCATATGCTTTACCATCGGAGATGTGCACAAGTCGATACCCAAACCAAAAAATCATTCAAGCGTAACGACCGCATTGGGGTATATATCGTTACAATGAGGCAAGGTATCTGGAAGAAATATGGCGGAATACGGCTATAGTTGGTATGAAACAAGTCGTACATAGATGAAAATGTTGCGTTTTTAAGAATTCATGTCAGCTTTAATAAATAATGTAGAAAGTTTAATCATCCATCGATACAAAATTATACATTTTGCTCGATCATTTTTGATAATGTGTACATGTTGAACCCGTCTGTCTGCACAATGTAAGTAATTGATTTTAAATGCAGTCACCATATAGATAAAAAAAACATTGTATTTCTTAGACAAAAAAGGTTAACAAAGAACTCATTGAATGACAAACGTTAATAATTCAGCGTTTTTGCCTGACGTCACGGCGTCAGGCACTACTAAGGATCAAAATTTCCTAGGTGCGAAGCTAAGATATCACAGTTAGCCAGCAAAATTTTGTGCATACAGATTATCATTGGACTTTGTTACATGCGTTTCAGCAATAACAGTTAGTAGAAAAATAACCATATTGCTGATACAATACATTCATATATTTATTTCCTTTAGCTTTTTGTTTGCAGCTATTTATTTCATGCGAGTTCTCATAAAGTCATGTCCGTTTGACCTTTTTTCTGTCTTTCTATACTACTGGATTAGTCCATTTGTCTTCTGTGTAAGGGATGACACAATCATTTTGCGCCAATATGTCACGTGTAAGTTTTTGCGCCCTTTTCCTGGACTATTCTGCATGAATGATATAAAGTATGTTCTTTTTTGTCGGACTCATGGTCGAGCTTTGGAAAAAAGAAACATTTGTGAAATGAGTGAGAAGTTACATCATTTAAAGTAATAAAACCGATACGAACAACAACCTCTTAAGAGGATGCACTGGCCAAATATACATCTGATCATACCCCCCCCCCCTCCAGTGGGGTTTCCTCCTACAAAAACAGAGTATATAGGCTTATGAAAGTGTCCTCTCACTTTTCAGCATCGAGAAAATTAATTACTTTTTTGCACGTACAAATATTTTTGATGTAGACCACTCATCCCTGGGAAAAGCTTCCTCAATCAGCACCTGTCGCCATTCATTTATCGCCGTCAAGTTTGTTGGGTCATTTAAGCATATAGGAATTTATTTATCCCACGTTTCTAAAAATCTTTGATGATCTGGCATACCAAAGAAACTATTAAACATATCCTTCATGTCAGTCATAACCGTTACGATTCCCAATTTCTTGTAATTATCATATTTTCAACTGTCTTCCTCAAAGCCAATGCAGTTGAATCTAATTTATGTAACCTTTACATGTAGCCATGCTTTCCATCATTAATCAATTACATTTAATTTAGTGTTTTCCCTTATTTACTTCATCCTCTAGAACCATTGTTAGATTCGCGGAGTGAGTTGTTCATCTTTTCGTTGCGGGTTCGAATCTACAGCGGGAAATGTACATGATTTCATTTCTTAATTGAGATACAAACAATGTATACGATTTATATAAAATGCATTCTTTTTCCATTGCTCTGATGAATATTATGCAACTTAAACTGAATGCATGATGTTTTGTGCAATATCTTCATAATTTACTCTAGAGAAACAATTTAACCCCCCCCCCCAATGAAAACGTTTATAACTTCCCTAACCAAAAATACTATAGTTAACTATAGTTAACTATAGTTTACTATAATTAACTTTAGTAAATTAAAGTGTCAAAGTTTTTCAAAGTGTCAAAGTTTTCGATAAAGCTTTTCAAAGTGTCAAAGTTTTCGTCAAAGTTTTTCAAAATGTCAAAGTTTTCGCCAAAGTTTTTTAAAGTGTCTAAGCTTTCGCCAAAGTTTTTCAAAGTGTCAAAGTTTTCGTCAAAGTTTTTCAAAGTGTCAAAGTTTTCGTCAAAGTTTTTCAAAATGTTAAAGTTTTCGCCAAAGTTTTTCAAAGTGTCAAAGCTTTCGCCAAAGTTTTTCAAAGTGTAAAAGTTTTCGTCAAAGTTTTTCAAAGTGTCAAAGTTATCACTACAGTTAATCAAAGTTTTTCAAAGTGGCAAAGTTATCACTACAGTTAATAAAAGTTTTTCAAAGTGTCAAAGTTATCACTATAGTTAATCAAAGTTTTCAAAGTGTCAAGGTTATCACTATAGTTAATCAAAGTTTTCAAAGTGTCAAAGTTATCACTACAGTTATTCAAAGTTTTCAAAGTGTCAAAGTTATCACTATAGTTGATCAAAGTTTTCAAAGTGTCAAAGTTATCACTATAGTTAATCAAAGTTTTCAAAGTGTCAAAGTTATCACTATAGTTAATCAAAGTTTTCAAAGTGTCAAAGTTATCACTATAGTTAACTATAGTATTTTTTGTTAGGGTTATCATGCTTATAGGTTATATCATTAGTCAGGCAAGCTTTTTAAAAAGCTGTTACTTGTTATCATTAATTTTTCTTATCAATGTAGTCATTTACCATAAGAAACTGCAATTCGTGTTTTACGCCCCCTCCTAAAATTACTCAATAACATGATGGAAAGCTTAAATTAAATAAGTTGACGTTTTGTGGATTTCAACATCTTTTTTTAGATTCAACTCTCAATTAATGCTCTAGGCCTTACATAAATCATATATTTGTTTGTTACATGTAGATACTTAAACATGTTATTGGATTTGTATGTTAACTGACATATTGGATAACAAATTGTAAGACTTTGTTTATTATGCAAAATTTGACTACGGGTTATCCCATCTACATATTCATATACATAAGACTTCCGATGGATATGACTGGACGGCGAAGGATGTATTAACCTATTAGATACTAGATACAGCATTTGATTTTTTTCTTGGAGATCGATCACTGTTCTTAACCTGTTTCATTTCTTTTGTAAAGTCTTTGAATTTAAAATAAAAAGGTTTTATTATACATGTTATATTGTTTTAAAAATCTGAAAACTTCCTTTGAAAATATATTTGTGTTAAAAAAGCTTTTCTTAATAATCATAATTGCGCAACATGATGCAAAAACCAACGAAATTTGTTATTCAATTTTTTTTCTGTTTTCAGAAGTTATCTCCCCCCCCCTCTCTCTCTCATTGTGTGTGTATGATGGTGTGCATATGTGCGGTTGTGTTCCATAATATTTCTACACGTTGAATAAATTATTTGCAAAAACTTAAAATAAAATTACCATCCAGGACAACATTTCCACCAATCAATCCAAGGAGACGATGCATTGTGTTCCGGGCTTATAAAACCATGTTCTCCTTGCAATCGTGCTGCAATGGCGTTAAGCACAAAAAGTAGCAAAACCAAAATGACGACTTGCATCAACTTCATCTGTTAAAATGAAATTAACATCGATTTAATAAACAATACAATTCAAGCATATGAATTCAAAGATTAGATTTTTGGCATGTCATTTTAACCAGGCCGAGTCTAATTATTTCTGCCCTAGGGATTTTGATATTTTTTTGATAATTAATTTTTACTGTTATATTAATTGTTTTAGGATTAAAAAATCGAATGTTTACCACCCCGATTTCTTAGTGGGCCATCGTAAATGTTGTCAAACTTTACTATTGGACACTATGGGAATTTGTTGGAAAATAGCCAAATTATTACATTTTTTTCATATATTTTGTACTTCTGCCCTAGCGATTTCCTTTTCATTCAAGTAAATGAAAGTAAATGTAAAAGGTCACCAAATTGTGAAATTTCAAAAAAGTTCACCATCTCGATTAGTCTAGGTAGTAATTCCTAAGTTTATTTTTTCGAAGACAAATACCTGTAAAATTGCCATATTACTCTAGAAATACATATCTTTGCTGATGAATTATCGGTGCATACAGTTCTTTTCGGCATAAATAGCAATTTTTATATTGCTAGTATGTTTTGTCAGTTATGTCATCAGTTTTTAGTAAAATATCCATGGAGGTCTTTAACATACAAGCGAGTCCTGCGTCATTCTTCAGCGTCATGCATTGCTTACAAAATCCGAAAATGGTGACGTTGTTAGAGCCATTTCAAAGTTCTTTTTCCAATAATTGTCGTAAAATCATATTTTCAGATCAGAAGGAGTTGCAAATAATGTTAATTTTGTATTAAAACCTTTTAAAAGGTGTACTATCACACAAATGACTGCATGAAATTAAAAAGCTACGCAAAGTGATGCGCACTCGAATTAGACTCGGCCTCGTTAAATCAATTTTTTATCTAGCAACATCCAGTGTACTGTTTTGAGACGTAAATACATGTTCCCTTATTGTCTTTAAGAAAAATCATGAGGAATGTGCCGCAAGTAAAGTTTCTGCTTTGTACAAGCAAACACAGTTTAACATATTGAATTTATTGAGGCGAAATCGAGAAGAGTTAATTTATTATATTAAGGAACAGACCTTAGAAAGAAATATTTTTTTCTTAAAGAAAGAATACAATGTAGCCAAACGATGTTTAATATCTTGATGATATCCAGTACAAGTTAATGTCATAAATCAACTAGTGCTAATTGTAACGGGGACCGTTACAGATGTTCCCCAAACGCTCCCATGTCCCTTTCCGTGCCTCATTCCTATAAGACCTTTTATATATATGCTAAGTATCCAAGGATTTCATTTAAGAATATAAAAGTTACAATGATATCAACTATCAACTATATATCGTTAAACGTTATGCATGCGCGCACACGTACATGCTGTACATGCATATGCAAGATGATTATGGCATGTTGGTTAAGCGATTAACATATCTTTCTATCCCGCGAATAAAAAAAAATTCAGATATACGAGGGCTGTTCGGAAATTATTGAGAAATTTACTTTTACTCCATAAGAGACAGAGATAAATTCAGAAAAAAATTGTCAACCTTGAACGAAGAACAAATTAAACAGCGATGCAAAATTTCTAATTTCTAGGATAAGTAGATAATTTCTGGTGAAATCATAAACATGCATATGTCTATCCACCCGGAGCAGCATCAGTACGTCATTTTAACGTCAAGGTAGCCGGGGATGTTTTCGCATGTGAACGATCGGGAAGCATTTACTCTCCTTCCTTTGTTATTATACATGAACCATACAAAAATCAAACTGTCTATATTCTTAAACGATTCTTTTAAAAAAAATGTTCTGTTGCTACACTTGTTTAATTTTTTTCATGCGTCATAAATACAGGATGATTTAGTATGCAGTGTCGATTTATGCAGGGAGGGCCAACGTTTTTAATTCCGTAGCGGTAAAAATTGATGGTCGTCCGGAGCGTTGGATTATACAGTACAGGCCACGAGTTTTCCGCATCGCTCGGTGAAAAAAACACCGTGTGAAACGCTCTGTGTTACACCGTGTACACGGTGTAGCACAGTGTGTGTGGATTTGAAATATACAGGTAGGCACACCGTGCCGCACCGTGTCTAGAAAAATCTCAGAAAATGTCCTCCGTGTCACACCGTGTCCAGTAAATTTCGCTCCGTGTCGCACTGCGTGTCCAGAAAATTCTCCTCCAAGCTGCACCGTGTATATAGTATTACAGATAAAATCGTTTTTTTTTTCTGATAAAAATTTAAGAATAAATTTTGATGACAGTTTATAACTTTAATTTATGTATATATATAATCGTTTTTATTCTACCAGATATTGGACTCTGAATGGCACGCATGATAGTGAGAGTAGATAGCGGTAAACAAAAAAAATTGAATGATTTTCATTTGAATGTGTCTAGAAATTTATATTTTAGTAAAATTATTTATCCACGTTACAAAATCAAAATTATGAATTTTATTTTAAATGAATAATTTAATCTCATGTAACAAAGGAAGACAAAATGGCGGAGAGCTGCATTCGTGACACATACACTGTATAGTATAAAATCCGAGCTGTATTTACGTTCATGGTTTTAACATGTACAGTACTCGTGTACGATCCAAGCATTATTATACATATTCCTTATTAAAATACATTTATTTTGTTCATCTTGAATTATTCTGAATGTGGATGCGAAAATTGTCAGCAGAAACACAAAATTAATGCAATTTCAAAGCGCATTTCTCGTAACAGCAAACACTATTTTCATAGAGTAGTATTCACTACGTTATGTTTTTAAAATCCTTTCAGGGTCAGTAATTATTTTAAAAAGATTTTCTTTATTCTGATAAGTTTTTCTTTTCTTGTAAAGTGTATAAAAAGCAATAACAGAGAGAGAGAGAGAGAGAGAGAGACTCATACAACTCCCTTCTAATAGAGTGTAGTTTTTTTTTAATTCTTCGTTTTATTTAAGTTACGGGGGTCACAATTAATCATTCTATAATAATTATTCTATTTAATTGCCACAACTTTTGTTCATTAATGCAATCATTTAATGCAATCACTTCGTTCTGTGTATATGCTGTATGCACAAAATTCTCGTGCATCACCTGCCAATCAAAATCCCATGACGCTAGGTGACCTTGAAAGTCTGTTTACGCGGACAGAATTTCTCTTGTGATTTGAAACAATCTTATGGTCAGTTCCGAGTCGCACCTGTTTAAAAAATACATTGGGTCTCTGCCGGTGGGCGAGGGGCGCCGTATGTTTATCACACCTTTCAAATTCTTTAGCTCTGACCACAGCAAGTGTATACATGTAACACACTCAACTGATATAATGCGAAATTCATCTTCCAGGTTTCACTACAACAAGGATTATAAACTTACATGTACTTTGTTAAATTATTTATCCTTTTTCAGACAAAAATAAGCATGTATTCCACAGATTAAGATTAAAAAATAAAACAACATGAATTTACAGACTTCTGATAAAGTTTTAACCAGCTGATTCGTATCGCTTTTTAGAAGGGGGGGGGGGGCATTTTTAAAACTCGCTAAATATCTATGTTTTCTCAAACCGTTTTTTTTTTGTCTTTTAATTTTTCAAACGATATATTGCAGAATGAAGTAATATTCTTACTGAAGTAAGTATATTTATCTTGCCAAAAATTCGGCTGTGATTTTTGTACTTAGCGTGTTTACTAAGTTGATCACTATTTTTATGAATGAAATTTACCAGATTATCATCTCTGCCTGTTCAGTAGATTTTCGAGTTTACCGCATTTAATTTTTATCCCCATATTTAACATAATTACAGATTTTCAGTGTTAGTCTTACTGCAATAATCCTTATCTGAACCTGTCCAATGATTCGCGGAGTATCGGTATCAAAGAGCAGAATTTATGTGCGAGTCTGATACGTATTTTTTTTAAAAATTATTCTAGACACAGTACATATACGTGTATATTTAAATTCTTTCAAAATAATTAATTCACTTAGTATAATCATGTATCTGATATGTACTACGTATGAATGCATACGTAGGGAAAAACGATCTTGTATCAACAATTTAAGGCCGGTATACACGATGAGATTTGTAGTATAATACAAGTATTATAATACTTTTGTATTATAATACTTTCTTGTACACACGCTAATACATATCTTATAAGATTATTCCCACGTGTTTTCTCCTGTCATATTTCTCTCTCTGTCAAAATAATAAAATGATAATAATAAGCTCTGCTTCTAGCATCTCTTTTGTGGTAGCTACAGTTTGATATATTCCACAAGTCCTCTTCCACTTCCCATAAAACCGCGAGTTTTTCGATACCTTTACTCGAAAAGTCGGCCATTATTATTTACCATGTGCTTTATTTAGTAATAATATAAATAGGATGACCCCCAATGTGAGTACATTTGATTGGTTGAAAGTGAAAGGTGAGTTAAGACTTGTATTAGGAAATAGAACATTGCTCTATTCTTAATACAATCTTATAAGATTCGAAAAATCTTATGATACACTGTATTAAGAGTGTATACACAGTAAGATTTTGTATTATAATACAAATCTTATAATACAAATCTTACCGTGTATACCTGCCTTAATACGAGGGCTGTTCGGAAATTATTTAGACATTGTGTATATTTTTCTTTCTAATGAACATCTTTCGGTGAAAATTTTCATGTACGTTTGACAAACATTAAAAATTCATAAAAACAAGATATAATTTACAAATATTAAATTTCTTTTCTTCAGTGGCATAAACTTGTGTCAATGGTAAGGGTACCTGGATCAGTCACGAAATCAGATATTAAAAATATGTATCACCAACGTTCAACCCCTTATTGGACCCATACTAAGAGCAAAAATAATTCAATTTATGTATCAAATTTTTGTTGGAATTCTGATCAGGAATATGGAGATCCTTAAAAAAAATAAAGCGTGGTATAGGAATCTGATTACGACGAAAAAATGGATTTTGACGTTAAGGCGGAGCAGCGAGAGACCTAAAATTTTGTGTAGCGCTATGTAAAACCCTTATCCAGACTGAACGACCTGCTAAAACATTAACAACAGGAAAACACGTCGAAGGGTTTGTTATTTCATATATATGTACTTTTTTTAAACCTATAATTCAACCAAAGTACAATACAGGCCTCGAGTTTTCCGCAAAAAACACGGGGCCCCTTGGACAGCAAGTCCACGCTTTAGCGTGGACCTCGAACCTTGTCGGCGTCTTTGAAGTCAGCGTTTCTGTGCACCGTGTAACACGGTGTGTCACATTTCTGATGATAAATATTTTAAACATTTTCATTGCCCTTATTAAATGAATTAAATCAACTTTCTTTTGAAATATTTGTTGTACTTTGTTATACTTTTCCATAAATTATCATTAGTTATTTATCGCATACAGAATTTTTAATTAATAAGATGCCTTAAAACTTAATAAAAACGTACTCGTGTCCAGCAAAAAAAAAATGTACAATCACGTTTCAAGTTAAATCCTTATTATATTAGTCATAAAAAGTTCAATAGACTATTATTATATAACACTAAGAGGAAACACGCTTTCATAAATGAATTACTTGATTGTCTCTACTTTCGATTTTGTTTTTTTCTGTATAAATTAATAATTTCTATATACTTTGGAAACTAACATCAAATATTTTAATACAAAGGTTAAGGTCGATTTCAAGTTCATAGGTCAAGGTCATTTTGGTAAATAGCTTATATCAACATTTTATTCAGGTTACCAACGACCTTGACCTAAGTTTCAAGGTCAAGGGTCGAAAGATCTGCTTCAGTATGTTACATGTCTTGACATTTAGAAGTTCTTAATTCTGCATGAACATAAAAAACTCAAGTATAAAACTGGTCGTTTAACGCATTGTGTGCGTGCGCATGTGCATGCACGTCCTTGCATTTACTTTTGATAGTAGTATTATGTAGGCATTCATTATATATATCCATATTCGAAATTTAAACCTGATTTATTGAGAACCAAGAAAGTTTTAGGCATTTAAAGTTTTAGCCAATCAGATTGCATCACACGTGCATGTGCGTGCGTTCATGATTATTCTTATATATCATGCTGTAGATCTTCATAATGTATGACTATGTTCAAAAATTTAAAAAGTGAAGGCTATATCAATTATATTGGTCATTTCACGTGTTACACGTGCGAGCACATGCACGCACGTGCGCGCAAAATGATAATATAAAATGATAAATAAAAAATATACGAAACCAAGTGAATTTTATTAGGGAAAGCAAAAATGGTAAAATTTTGCCTATATGATATTGCTGATTTTTTTTTTGTCATTTTGATTTTCTTTTTAAAATTCACCTGGCTTGATATATTTTTCTTAATATTATATTAAAATGTACACGTTTTGAACCAAGATAACACATTCTGAAATTTGTTTCACCTGTAAACCTGTACTGATTGTAATTTGTCTATATTTGTTTTTTTTTTTATATTACCAATATTTCCTAAGTCTATTTCATTTTCCAGTTCTAAGGAGAATAAAATCAAAGAATTATCCACTTTTCTAAACTTGTGCCATGATATTATATTAAGTCTCCTCCAAAGACAAAAAATGTTTATATTATTTGTTCTTAAGTTTAAATTATTTCTAATTACAAAAACAGCACAAAAATTATTTTGAAAAATTATTATCGACACTCATGGTTTATTAATTGGTAACAACATAATTCTTAAAACGCTTTTATTTCAAATTAAAAACAAAGACCTCAAAAACATTTCCAAAAAATCGCTATACACATGCATTTAAAAAAAAATAAAGTCATGCTAGCTACTCGTTTATACTTTACCTTGTACTGTTTTGAATCTCCAAATGCAGTGTTCAGAAATGAAAACGTTTCTGATTTACCGTTGTATATTAAATAGAACAGTCAAGGTGAAAGGAAGTTCTTAAGCAGTAGACTTTGTATGTTTGGCAAAGTGTTTTTTCCTTTGCAACAAGTGTCGTGGATTTTTCATTAGGTTAATTGTATGTATAAATGCAAGTATTGGTGTACATGTACTCTTTTCCCTCGAATGGACTTACGTAAATCTAAACTAATTCATTTATATATTTAGTAGGTATGCTATAAACAGTTTCCAGAAAAATGCCTTCAAACTTTTTTACAGAAAGATCACGAGGATTCTTCGAAAAAAAATTGGGGTCATTTTCCACTCCCTTCCTGAAAATTCGAAAAAATTTATAAGGATTCAATAAAACAAGAATGCAAACGTCTGGGGCCCGTTTCATCAAAGGTCGTACGCCCAGTCGTAGCGCTACGCCGGTGTAAAGTTGGGACTAGCACGAAGAGTTGCGTTTCATGAAAGAGTGTATCGTTACGCCTGACTAAATTTAGGCCAAAATTTTACGTCTACCCATGGGTAGGCGTAAGTCCGGGCGTAAAGTTAAAATTAAGCAATTTTACTGATTTTAAACCAATTTAGCGAGTTCTAAAGAAAAACTACGGTTCTAAGAAGCCTTTTAAATAAAAACAATACATTATTTAATTGTACATACTTTGAAGAAGGGGGGGGGGGCTGCTACAACCACTTGGGGACGTAGTTGATTGGAGTAATAACGTTCTTAATACTTTAATACATTTCTTCTGAGAAGAAAAGAATTTCTTTTTAGAGATTTCTTCGACCACCATATCTTACGTATTTCATGTCGATAATGCATTCGTATCCATTTGATTGTTGTATTGTATATGTATAAGGTATTGTAAATCGACTTTACATGTACTATATTTATACCCCCGCATAAAAATCGAGAGGGTACTTTTAAATGAAATTTAATGAGTCATTCACAGATTCATTATAAAATATTGCCATTGTGCCTTATTGTACGTTTTGATCCGACACATATTTTGGGTTTCCCATAGCAAAACATGGACACTGCCATTATATTCAAATGCGAGGATGGGTGTATCATTTAGTGAGGCCATTGCAAGCCCAAAGTACCTCTAGGTATATATTCTGTTTCATTCCATTAAAATTGTCTATTATTTGTCTATTGTCTATTAAAAATTGGTTTCAAAAGCACAGTAATCCTCTATCTGGTAAATTTCTACATTTAAGAAAAAATAACTCATCTTGAAACCAAGTAGGTTTTTTAATCATGTTTACTCCTCGTCCATGCACATGCTTGGATGTAGAGGGGATAGGAGAGAAGGTCCAAAACCTCCCGAATTTGCAGATTAATAAACATTTAATGTACAGAGATAGGGGCGAATGTAATTATTTTTTTAGGTATCTGGAACAAGTGAAGTCCTCAGCAAATCTATGACGGAACCCGGGTAGGGGGGGGGGTCTCATAGACAATAAGAGATTTTTTAAATGGCGAAAATATTTGATTTATTACATTGTACTTTTATTATATTGATGTAAGACGGTGATATTTACACAGTTAATTTCAAAAAATGAATTATTCCTAAAATATTTTTTTCTCAGACAAAGATTAATACAGAAGATATCTTTATTTTTCATGATTTCGTCTTAAAGAGTAAATCTTACATCGTATTAGATAATCCGACCGCATTTAAAGCACGTATAAAATGAAAATATACATTTTTTATTTCTCGAATAACTTGATTTTTTATGAAAAAGAAAATAAAGAGTATATCTGCAATTCAATTTTAAAGACAGAGAACACACAAGCAGAGAATTTCTTTACGAATATATTATTTTGTTGTCATCCGAATCTCTCTCTCTCTCTCTCTCTCTCTCTCTCTCTCTCTCTCTCTCTCTCTCTCTCTCTCTCTCTCTCTCTCTCTACGTACTTGTAAACTGCGTACTTGTGAAACGGTACATTAAATTCAAGCTGCAGATTGTAAAAAAAATTCTGTGACAGCATTTACCTAGAGTCTAGTATTTCTAAATTGTTTTATGTACATTTGTGTCGTTTTAATAAACAATAACAATATTATAATTAATCAATTGCATTGACAAAATTTTAATAGACTATAAGGGAGGATGGCCTCACATGAGTAAACGTGTAAAAATTATTTTTTGACTCAAAATGTGTACATATGTAAACCCTTGGCATTTTTGTACATTATTTTTGCTTGCAAATATACACTTATATACATTTGTATGAAAAAAAAGTTTTAAAATCTTATTCTGTCTCAAACTCAATTATTAGCATTTATCAGTAGAATCAGTATTTATCGAATCATGAAATTGATTATCAAAGGCGAAGTCATTAACCTGTATCTATTTAGGGAAGAGGGGGGGGGGCTGTAATTAAAATTGCAAAATAAACAGTTTAGCTTAATTCTGAAATACAAGTACGATCCCTTTTTTCCTTTCAATTTATAGGACTTATTATTGAAATGTTGTAAAAAAAAAAAATTAAAATCGATTTTTTATAAGATACGTATCTCTTACATGACTCTATAAATCCATGCATGTTTCAATTAGTGCAAGCATTCATTTATCTATAAATTGTTTTATTCTGTACTTTGACGTGCCTCAGTTTATTCCTGTTTAAAATACGCATTGGACAATGTTTGTGTTCTTGCGCCTGCGCAATGCAACGTTGTCAAGGACTTAGTCCTGCGACTAAGCGTATCTTTTACGACTACACTTACGCCACTTGTTGAAACGCAAATTACGCCCGACTAAATTTTGGCGTAAGCCCCGGAAGTACGCTTAAGTTAAGGCTTAACTTTACGACTTTTGATGAAACGGGCCCCTGATCTATAGGAAATATATGCAACATGGGTCGACGTTTTTTTATTTCTTAATATGTACATTTGTGGTATCTTGCCACTATATAAACGTACAGAGAGAAAATATCTTCAATTATGTATGAAGTTTGTCAGAGCTCAATACGTGACCTAATCACACGGCGCAATAATATCTACCGGTACATCAATATGACATTACTTGCCCTACATGTATAAAAATGAACAAAATAAGCAAGTAAAACAATTTTTTTTATTTATAACGTGAACAAGTACTTCATACATTTTTGGCGATCGATTTAACCTGTGTACATAGAGAATATACCGATAGAAACTAGTCTTTGTTTACAAGTTGTAGGCATATGTCACTTTTGTCAGCTGCACAGTCTCTAAATTTTTAATTTAATCCTTATTTCTGTTAGACCCTAAGTTAAATCTTCATGACATATGCTAAAACTATATTTTTCATTAAATTCTACTCACGATAAATGTGTAAATCTGTTGGAAAATATCAAAGCATTGCAATCACGCCACGAACAGCTGAAAAAAAATCTCGATCGGCGCTGTCTTACTTCATTTTAAACTGTCTCCAGTGTCTCCGTGTTAGCATCATCAATATGCCTTTAGTTACTGAAATCGTAGATTAAATGTTGTCGATCAAATTAAGTACTTCATTGCAAATTATCTGGCTCGAATAAGTGTCTCAATCCATCGGATCCATCCATCCCTTTCAGGCGACCGAAATTCCTCCAACTTTTTATCATCAAACTTCGTCGGGCGTGTTTCTCTGTGTCTTTTCAGCATGAATGATCAATTTTCACAAATAAAAATATTCCCAGAGAAGAATCTGTTTTCTATTACTAATCACAAGTAGCCTTTAACTAAATATTCCCTTCGAAATAGAATTCTTAGCCTGACGAATTCGAAGCGTAACCGCCTTTCAAGCCGATTTACACCTTGCGTACTTTTGACGAAAATCTACGGCGACCGGTAATATGCAATATTTATATCATAATATATTTAATTTAATATTTAATTGTCCATCTCAAATGGATATATAAGTAATAAATAACAAGTTTATAAACTTCAATGGGAATTGAAGTGGGTCGGTACGTGATCAAATCTTCTGAGAAGGCCTTCGGCGTTTTCAAGCGGGGAGGGGAGAAAATAAATTATTTTGACTTTTATTTTTGATCCACCTAGAGTGTGAACGTTGGTGCTACACATTTTCAATATCTGATTACGTGACTGTGTGACCGTGTACCCAAACCATTGACACATCAATATGCAATTGAAGAGAAAAAATTTTATATTTGTAAAATATCTATTTCGTTTTTAAATCCTTAGTGTTTGTCTAATGCAAATTTTCACCGAAAAACATTCACTAGAGAGAAAAATACATACAGTATCTCAAGAACTTGATCATATTGTACATTTCAGCAATTACCTGTTCAATGTTTCATAAAACATAATTATTCATAATGTACATTTCAGCAATTACCTGTTCAATGTTTCATAAAACATAATTATTCATGATGTACATTTCAGCAATTACCTGTTCAATGTTTCATAAAACATAATTATTCATGATGTACATTTCAGCAATTACCTGCTCAATGTTTCATGAAACATATTTTATAACATTGTATGTCAGCAGCTACCTTTTCAATGTTTCGTGAAATATGGAGATAACAAACAATAATCACGCAATTGCAATATTACATGCAGATCGCGAGCAAAGCAAACAGCAAAGCAAACACAAAACCCTATAAACCTTTGGAATATGTCCCAAGAAGGACTTATCATTCCCTGTTCACCACTTATAACCACCTTGTGCTCATTGTCATGATAGGACAAACAGAACAACTGTTACGGTAATTAGTTCATAGTTTAAAATAATGATCTTCAAATAAGTAAAAAGAAAAGTCTGTGAGCAGTCGGTTAATTCTTAAAGTAAACCTCATTTTATGATTAGTATCTACAATGTTGTTTTATTGTTGATTTATAAATATTGAGATATTGCTGTCTTGTGTACATGTATGCAGCTTATTTGCTGTTGTATAGTATATGACCAATTCCCATTGAATGGTATGAATGTTCATTGTTTTTATGCCGAACAATAGTTCATAATAAAAATTGCAGTGATACGCTTAATCATTGTTGGGTTTTTATTATAAATATTCTTTGG